GTTCTCTTCACGTTAGAGAACCCTTCAAAATACCGTATTAGATAGTATGTTAATAGACAAAACTTCTGTCCCTATTCAACATACTCTCTTTTCCGCTGGCAGTCCAATTTCTTCCCCCTTCTTCTCGTTCGACCTAGTTTGCGGAACCAACTTTTTGTATTAATTTGTACTCTTTCTGAATATGCATCAAATATTTGTCACTGGATATTAAGCAAACAACCAAGCGTGAGAGCAATATACGTGCCATTCTTCTTCTATATTTTCAAAATATAACGTTTCTTAACTTTATTACCTGGAATGATTTTGGTGTTATTACTTACGATTATCATAGGGTCCTATATGTAGAATTACAAAACACAATTATGAAATGTGCATCTCCAACCCAACTCCAACTCCAATCCAATTCTTCTGACAGAGATGTACGATTAAATTTTTTTTTATCTAATTCATTTTAATAAGAATTAAATGATTCATCGAATTGTTAGTTTGTCGTCCAGTGGAAAATAGTTCATACATATACAGTACGAGAACAAATTAACCGTAAAATCCGAAAGGATGGTTCTGCAAAGAAGATCGACCGGAATGATGGGCGGATAATTTGGACTGTCACTTGAAAAAGATGCATGTTGGATAGGGGCAGAAATTCTGCTTTCCCAAAGGCTACCTACGAACCCCGAATATTTGTTGCATTTGTTCTTTAACGCACAGAGAGCGGTAAATTTTCTGAACATGGCATTGGATTAAACGTCCCTATATTTTGACTCAAAGGAGAGGTAGGATATACGTCAACGGGACAGCAACCCAACGACTCAAATAACCAATAGACACCTAAAGGTCAGCATACAGTATTGAACAATAGACAGGTGTTAAAACAATACGTCATACTCTTAAGTTACCCTGAGGTGTAAAAAGTTGTGAATTAATAAGACAATGACCATCAAAGATCTGCCAAACACCAAAAAAAAGCATTCAATAACACACAAGACAATTTCTGAAGAGGTACCTGAATTGAAACAGGCAAATGAACATGAGGCTGAGTTAAACTACATTTTCAAGATAAGTGCAGGCTCATAACTCTATAAAAACAGTGTAGTAGATAACACAATATAGTCTCCACACTTTGAATTATTTAGTGATAGGACATCATCTGTTAATATAGCAGAATGTGACGTTAGGATGCCAGCTTCTTTTCTTTTTTCTAAAAATTCTCATGTATGAGTCTGCCTCGTGAGAATAAAGGAGCAAATCGGCAAAAGAGGAGCCCAGTTGGTTCCCATAGGAATGCAAATGTCTGTTAAAAAAACGTCTTCAAAACGTAACAAATATGTTGTAAATTGAAAAAAATCAAACATCTTGATTATTAAAGTTAGTGTCAGTGGACTTTCTGTTTGAATCAGAGTTTGTAAATCAGTGAATCAAATAGATTTATCGGTCTAAATGTTTATATTTACTCTCAAGTAACCCCCTATTCACGTCCAGTGCATTGCTCTACTCTGATATATCACGTATATCAATTAGTTTATAGTCCAGTTTGCAATCTAAAGCAGAAGGTTACTTTAATGCGAAAAGGGTGACCAATGAAAAAAGTGTGTCTAATAAAAAACATGTCTGGCCAATGATCTCGGCGTCTATTTCACATTAGGGACATTTCTAAAATTCACGACACAGTATCATAGATTCAAATGTGCAATACAACATTTTAGCGTATTTTCGAACATGTAACCAAATTATAAATATTCAAAGATGACATCCACGTCACATTTGGTGGTGTATACACGGCCATATTTGTCTATTCCTTCTGATGAAGCTTTAACAAGATCAGGATGAACAAAATAAGATGTTTCAAGTGTTGGATGACCTGCCTCCTTCTCTAAATAACTTTTGCTGACTCAAAATAACAGAAATACGTCTTGTTAGTTTATTTTATTTTTTTGGGGGGAGGGGCTTATTCTGTATACATAAGAAACATCTCATTTTTATGCGTATACCTGGCAAAGGACCAGCTATTAACATCACTTAGTCATGGTTTAAGTTAACCCACTTACTTAAAGTAACTCATTCCTTCAAAATTGATGAAAAACAAGACAAATGTCAATTCTTGTTATTTTTTAAAATTTCTTATCACCTGAAACACTATGGTCAAAATTTGTCATACATAATACAAATGTTGGTTTAGAGAAATCATAAAACAAATCTTCATTTTCCACTTAAAGGGTGGCATACATTGTGGAAATCTTGATAATTGGGATGTGTGAAAATAAGTCATATTCCAAACTATTGAAATACCAAATCACAAAAAAGACAAGAGTGCACACGCTGAAATGTCTCGCCTTCTTTACTAATCATTGATATTATGTTGATATTCCTAAATATAAAGCTTTACTACAACTATCACATACACTTAACATGATCCAAGAAAATGAGGTCAAGGTCATATAAACCAAACAAGAAATACATATACACCTTACAATCATTCAATACACTAAATATAGTTGACCTATTGTTTATAGTTTCTAAGATACAGACTTAACCAAGAAAACTAAACATTGACCAATGAACCAAGAAAATGAGGTCAAGGTCAGATGAACAATGCCAGGCAGACATGTACTACAGCTTGCAATCCTTCCATACAACAAATATAGTTGTCCTATTGCTTATAGTATTAGAAAAACAGACCAAAACACAAAAACTTAACACTGAGCAATGAACCGTGAAAATAAGGTCAAGGTCAAATAAAACCTGCAAGACTGACAGGTACATCATAAAATATTTCCATACACCAAATATAGATGACCTATTGCATAAAGTATTAGAAAAAAAGACCAAAACTCAAAAACTTAACTTTGAACACTGAACCATGAAAATGAGGTCAAGGTCAGAAGACACCTGCCCGCTAGACATGTACACCTTACAATCATTCCATACACCAAATATAGTAGACCTATGGCATACAGTATAAGAAAAACAGACCAAAACACAAAAACTAAACTATAACCACTGAACCATGAAAATAAGGTCAAGGTCAGATGACACCTGCCAGTTGGACATGTACACCTTACAGTCCTTCCATACACCGAATATACTAGACCTATTGCTTATAGTATCTGAGATATGGACTTGACCACCAAAACTTAACCTTGTTCATTGATCCATGAAATGAGGTCGAGGTCAAGTGAAAACTGTGTGACGGGCATGAGGACCTTGCAAGGTACGCACATACCAAATATAGTTGAACTATTGCATATAGTATTAAAAAAAAAGACCAAAACACAAAAACTTAACTATAACCACTGAACCATGAAAATGAGGTCAAAGTCAGATGACACCTGCCAGTTGGACATGTACACCTTACAGTCCTTCCATACACCGAATATACTAGACCTATTGCTTATAGTATCTGAGATATGGACTTGACCACCAAAACTTAACCTTGTTCACTGATCCATGAAATGAGGTCGAGGTCAAGTGAAAACTGTCTGACGAGCATGAGGACCTTGCAAGGTACGCACATACCAAATATAGTTATCCTATTACTTATAAGAGAGAATCTAACATTACAAAAAATCTTAACTTTTTTTTCAAGTAGTCACTGAACCATGAAAATGAGGTCAAGGACATTGGACATGTGACTGACAGAAACTTCGTAACATGAGGCATCCATATACAAAGTATGAAGCATCCAGACCTTCCACCTTCTAAAATATAAAGCTTTTAAGAAGTTAGCTAACGCCGCCGCCGCCGCCGCCGCCGGATCACTATCCCTATGTCGAGCTTTCTGCGACAAAAGTCGCAGGCTCGACAAAAATTGAATAATAATCTTTGTCCCCCAATTTTTTTTAATTTTTTTTTTCAATTCAATTTTTGATTAAATGTTTTAATTTCAACTTCTGACTAATATCTTCATATATAATGATCATGATGATGATGATGGTAATGAATTAGTCTTTAATGTCAAGCGGCAAATATTACATGCATATCGGGATAGGAACATGTTAAGATGATATGAATATGAACCCTGCTTTGTAAGAAGAGATTGATTTTATAAGTGCTTTACAGAAGGTAATTGTCCACAGAGACATTTCACTTTACTTGGACAAATTATTATGACTCTGAGCCGACCAGTCTTTGCTCTTACTCCTATATGCAGCGGATTAATTAGAGCAGTAAATACTAATTTTCAGTTCTTGTTTAAATCTGGCCGGGGATCAAACTAGCATCATCTTGCTTATTATGTTATCACAAGAAAAACCGAGGCAATTGTCGTCTTTGAAAAACATGACAATCTCATGGAATAATTAACTAGAGGCTCTAATGAGGCGGTGTCGCGCCCCCAAAATCTGTGTGCATTTCAACAATGGACTATCCCCAATATTTTTGAATAGATAATAATTTATGACTAAACTTCTTTTTATTGTTGATCTTTTATTGCTGATCATTTTTTTCTGTTTACAGTTTCTTTCCATCTTCTAGTTTGTGCACAAAAGGTAAAGAAGGGTCAAAATCGTCATTGGAGGTAAATTACTCCTACAAAAGACAACTGATTCGTCAGATTTTCTCTAATCTATCTATAGTGGTTTTCAAGATAATATACACAGCTTGCATTTTATCCTTGTGTTCTAACTTAAGCCATGTCGACCATGTTGGTTGGCAGGAGGATTAATTGGACACATTTTTTAAACTAGATACTCCAATGATGATGAAATTTTGTTAAATTTGGCCCAGTAGTTTCAGAGGAGGAGATTTTTGTAAAAGTTAATGAGACATCAATGAAGACGACATACGACGGACGCCAAGTGATAGGAAAAGCTCACATGAGCCCTTCCGCCAGTTGAGCTAAATGGGAGACAAGTTCATCAGTTTATTTCACTACAATTCCTACCAACCTTTGATAAATGGGAATAAATAGGAAATTTCAATAGACTTTAATATGCTAAGTAATGTTAATTTGTTTTAATTTAGCATAAGCAGTTTTACTTTTGTAGGAGTATTCAAACATATAATTGTCAGATGTATGTTTTATTAATTGTATAATGTAAAGCAGAGATATTAAAGTATAATTGGAACCTCAATAGAAACATTGCTTTAGTTTTTAGGAAATATAATGTGCATAGATGCATAGATTATTGTCAGTAATTTGTTGTCGAGACGAATGTTCTACATGTTTAAGGATTCTAGATATTCAGCTATAGTTGCAACTCCTTTGTTCGTATTGCCTTGTTGACCTCCTTCTTTGGTATGACCAATTACCACACCTGTTTTGGAAGTTTGTAGAGTTAGTGCACCTTGGTCTTTCTTTTTAGCTAAGACTAATTTATTATCTTCTTCTCTTAAAAATTGGTATTTTATTCCTTCGACAGTGACTCCACTCGACATAAATGGTGAAAAATCTCTACTTTTAAAAGCTTTTCCAATAGTCGCAGCCTCTGCAGCAGTTATCTTAATGGCCTGTGGTGCGCCATCTGTTGTCCACTTTGAACCATCAAGGCCAATAATACAAGCCTTGTCTGCATTTGCGCTTCCAGTGGAATCTTTTGTATGAGCAATCAAGTTATCTATATAACTATCCCATGACATTTTGCTAAATTGATGAGTTTGGTTCTGAAATATAAATTATTCATTTATTTAACTTACACATATCACTTTGTACATGTTGTTTGTCAACACAATTTATATTATGCACATGATACATCGCCATATACTAATGCATGCAATACAAATAAATAAGGCATGTTTGTCTTTAAAATACCTGTTCTAAATTAAATAAATAGCCTATCCAAAAACCATCTAACATGTGATTGTCGGCAACAAACCAATATGTTTAGGGTTAAATTGGATTTCAAAAATAGAGTAGACTGTACCTGGTAAAAGAAAAATTTGGAAAACCAACCGAAAGTGAATAATATACTTGACAAAAATCTGAACAAATTTTATAAAGTGTAACTCTAAACAGACATAATAATTTATTTGGTTTAGCCATATTGAACCTTAATGCGAAAGTTTTCGACCAACAACCAACGGTTTAGTATGGGCCATTATCACAAAATATTCGACAGTTATTGTGTGCTGTAAAATAAATGGAGAACGTGTCCCCATGGACACAGATGATTTTGTACTTGATCTGAGTTTTAAGGTAACAAGTATTGTGTATAGGATTCATAATGTTTGGTTGGGGCAAACTTAACTTACAGAACGGAAACTAAAAATTTTGCAATTTTTTTATTTATAAAGGGGCATAACTCGATAATGATTAAAGTGACGCTACCAAAATTCAACTTGATCTGTGTTTTGTGGTAAAAAGCATTGTGTATAAGTTTCATAACATTTGGTTGAGGCAACTTAAGTTAGAGAACGGAAACTAAATATTTTGCAATTTTTCCATTTATAAAGGGGCATAACTCTAGAACTGTTAAAGTGATGCTACAAAAATTCAAACTTGATCTGTATTTGGTGATAATAAGCATTGTGTATAAGTTTCATAATATTTGGTTGAGGCAAGCTTAAGTTAGAGAACAGAAACGAAAAATTGAAAAATTTTGCAATTTTTCCATTTATAAAGGGGCATAACTCTTGAAGAGTTAGAGTGACGCTACCAAAATTCAATCTTGATCTGTGATTTTGTGGTAATTAGCATTGTGTTAAAGTTTCATAACATTTGGTTGAGGCAAACTCAAGTTAGAGAACGAAAACCAATTTTGGGACGTACGTACGTACAGACGGACAAGGGTAAAACTTTATGCCCCCTCCGCTACGGCGGGGGCATAATAACTTTTAACGTGTACGCTCAATGTCAAATATTTGGAAGGTTAATTACATCAAAACTATAACTACGGGCTTAACTTAACGTAAACTTAATCACCTTACCCGAGGGAACCTTAAATTTTGTACAATAATTTATAAAATGAAAATAACGATGTATTATTTTAACCGTGCTCACTGTTAGACCCCTTGAATAGGCCCCGACACTTTTTTGAAGGCCAAGTTGACTCCTTGATGTACTGTTGCTAGTTGTGTTTCTCTCTAATTCATTCATACCCAGCATCTCATTTAATTCACAAATAGATCGTTTTGCCCCGGCCCATTCATGGTCATGATGAGGTACACATGGTACATGATTATGTCATATATAAATAAATGAAGAATGTGTCCATGGGACACAGATGGTGCCCCCGCTTACACATGACGTTATAAAGGAACATAACTTCGAGAACTGAAAAAGTGACGCCACCCAAAATCGAACTTGATCTGTTTTTTGTGGTCATTAGCATTGTTTGCAAGTTTCATAACATTTGGTTGAGGCAAACTGAAGTTAGAGAGCGGAAACCAATTTCGGGACATACGTACGGACGGACGAAAGTAAACCTTAATGTCCCCTCGCTACGGCATAAAAAGTACAGCTCAATGAACGGGTGCAAATGGAACTACAGGAAAATTTAGGAAAGGTCGATTTTCTATGAAGTTCTTTTTATAAATATCCCCATATGATATGAATGATGAACTTAAAGAAAGTTGTGTTACTATGTAAACAGAAGTTGCAGATGATAGTGTAATTTATTAATGAACAATGATTACCTTTAACATGTTTAAACCTAACATAATAATAAAAGTGTTTCCGCTAACATATTGACTATGGTAGGGTAGATTTTTAAGTCTTTGGCTCGTTTTTACAGGGTAAACAGTCTGACTTTAACATCTTTAATAGTGCTCGACACTGCTTGTCCAAAAAAGAAAAAATAAACTGCTTCGCTAAGCACAGCTGGATACGCCCGCAGAGGTCCAACCCTGAACAGTTGGGGCAAAAATGGACACAATATTCAAGCTTGATACCGATATATTAAAGGTTTCTGAATAAATGTAGTCAAAGAACTTGAAATTGGTTATATGAATTGAATTTATATTCAATGAAAGATTTCTTGCTGTTGTGCAATACACTGTGCTGTTGCGCAATACTAAGTAAATCTGTTGTCAGACTATAAACAAATAAAGTTCAATTTCTCCTCAATGTCATATTTGAAATTTATGAAAATCAATAGGGAGATTACATCCATAGCTATAAATAATTCACCAAAGTTTCATGAGAACTGATGAAAGCATTTTTCAGTTGTTGTCGAAAAACTGGAAAATCCCCCCTTTTTTAATGAATAAAACCCTATAACTCAGAATTGTAAAATCCAAAATTTTTAAAATTCTAAAGGGAGCTTACATCAACAGATGAAACAATTCACCAAAGTTTCATGAGAACTGCTGAAAGCATTTTTAGTTATTGTCCGTAAACTGGAAAATCCCCCTTTTTTATGAATAATACCCTGTAGCTTGGAAACGTAAAATCTTAAATTCATAAAAATCGAAAGGGAGCTCATGTCAATAGATATAAACAATTCACCAAAATTTTTGTCAAGTTGGTGAAAGCATTCTTGAGATATTGTCGGAAAACTTGAAAATCCCCCCTTTTTAATGAATAAAACCCCAAACACTCGGAAACGGTAAATCTGAAATTTATAAAAAACGAAAGGGAGCTCACGTCAATAGATATAAACAATTCAATAAAGTTTCATGCATATTGGTTAAAGCGTTTTTGAGTTAATGTCCGACATGTTGAAGACGGACGGACGGGACAGACAGACGGACGGTCAACGGTATACCATAATACGTCCCGTAAACGGGCGTATAAAAAAGGGTACGGACGGTTAGCAAAATCAAAAGTATATTTTTATAAGCAAAATTACGTTTCTATCAATAGAATAATACAATGTGATGCTTTACAAAATAACACCTGTTTACAGAAATATTCAAATATTCATATAAATTAATAACATCTTGCTTTGAGGTCAAAATGAAAGAACCATGAAATTGGTGTCAAGGTCAATACCACCTGTCAGATATAAACATTTTTTTTTAATTACGTCCGTATGAAAGGTACTAGGTAAGAAACATGAGAATCACCGACGTCCTTCTTCCCCGTCCCAATGTTCAACGTTTGAACATGTTGAAGAGATTTGTTGTCAAAATTTGTCAGTATATATGAAAAATTCGTAAGGGGTTCCTGTGAACCCTGTGTCTCGCCTACGATTGCTGCTGTCAGTGTAAAAGTGCAATGTTGACTTAAAAAGTGAGTCCATTTATCAGTGAAATACAGAATTAAAATAATCAAACTTTTTCTTAAGATGCTATTTTTTTTTGTCTTGAAGATTAGCTTCTGTCCCAAGTTTCATAACAATCTATGAAGGTTTACAAATTTATCAAAAAAATGTAATCCCAGACTGTCTGTAAATGTTAACTGTAAAAAAACCAAGTCCATCTATCAGAAAAATACCGAAAAGAAAATAAATTTTCAAAAATATGCTTCACATTATATCTCAATCATAAAAAAGTGACTGCCAAAGTTTCATAAAATTCTATGAAGGTTTGACAAAATAATTGATTTGTAACAAACTTCAACCCCGTACTGTATCTACTTGTTAACTGTAAAAAAAAACTATGTCCAATCATCAGTAAAATACGGAAAAATCAAAACAAATATTTTCAACATTTTGCTCTGGATACTGTATTTTGGTCATTAACAAGCCTCTGTCCAAACTTAATAACATTCCATGAAGGTTTGACAAAGTTCTTAATGACTGAAAAATTAAATCTCAAACTGAATCTGAATGTTAACCTTAGGTAAAAAAAAAATAAAGTAAATGTTCAAGTAAGTGGTACATGTATACATTGCACATGGTGTATTTCAAAAACATCTTTTTTGTCGAGCCTGCGACATTTATGTCGCGAAAGCCTAGATTCCGTCGGCGGCGTCAACATTTGGGTCCAGTATGTGGTTAAAGTTTGTTTAGACATCAATAACTTTGTCAAACCTTCATGGAAACTTGTTTATGGTCAAAATATAGTATCCAGACCAAAATTTTGAAAATATTCATTTTCATTTTTCCGTATTTTACTGATAAATGGGCTTAGTTTTTTTTTCTACAGTTAACATTCAGATTCAGTCTGAGGTTAAAGTTTTTCAGCCATCAACAACTTTGTCAAACCTTAATGGATTTTTTGTGAAATTTGGACAGAAGCTTGTTTATGGCCAGAATACAGTATCCACAGCAAAATTTTGAAAATTTCCGTATATTACTGATAAATGGACTTAGTTTTTTTACAGTTTACGGTGTCTGCTGGCAAATATATATAAGTAACTTATTAGAATACTTGTTACTATCAACCCACATCCTTAACAAATATTGAATCGTATACAAAAATATACATGTACCACTGGATCATCCAAATTGATTCCGGCGGATATGACATTAAAATCATCGATAACAAACATGTTTTTTTTGACAAACCGACAATGTCACCAGAAAAATATCAACTAGACAAGAGGCTGTCATAAGCCATGTTTTTCGTATACATTTGGTTTATTGATATCATCGTTAAAGCAATCAAGATATTAGTATATTTTCATATAGTAATTTTAATGATAATGTTAGCAACAAATTAGACATACGAAATGCCTATAAGTTGTAGCAACCACTTGTTCGTTCGAGTATAATTAATACATTCATTCGGTTCCATGGACAAGAGCGTACACAGGAGCCCGATATAATTTAAATTATCATAATAACTTAAAGCTAATACTTTGCATAAATTAGAAATGAACCATACATCGGCAGCTTCTGTCAAAATATTGGCTATGATTGAACATTAGTTTAAACATATACGGACGTAAATTCAATATTTAAAAAAAAAGGGGGTACATCTCTGGAACAGAGAGGCGGGAAGTTCTTGCCTTAGTTTTGTCGACATTTTCCGAAGAAAGAGGGGGTTCCGATCACACCGGGTTCCGAATACCGGAATCCCTCTGTAAATATAATTGTAATACATGTAAAACAACACCAAAAAATCGCACAAAGTGGGACAACGACGGTCAGCACCTGTATTTGGATCAAAACGCGTAAATCAAAAAATATATCTTATTAAAAAGAACTACACACATCATCCTACCTGCAATGATTTACCAGGGTATTTCGCCAATAGTTCTTTTTGGTCAACTTTTGATCAGTTTTAGAGGGTCAAGTTGACAGGGTCTGGTATTCTTAGAAAAATGTCATTTGGAAAGCCTGGCATCTATGAGAAAACGGGAAAATGCAGGCCTTATCACACTAAAAACAGATTTATTGCAAGCCAGGAAGAAAATATTTATCTGTATCCGTGTATTCGGTTTCCACTTAGTGTGTGTTAAAATGTTTCCTTGATCCCAATAAAATATTCGTATATACTAGTACATAGTTTTCTCCCTTTCCACTTCACGAATGTCTGCATGAAAAATGAACTATATATTCGTTAAATACATATCTGTATAGACTAAAGTACATGAATTAAGGAAAGTCTGCAGAATATTTAAACTCTGTTCAGCCATATTGATATTTAAAATTATATAATACTAGACAAAGTCCAATGACCCGAGAATGACGAGAATGCGTCTTGCACAGGTTCATAAAATGGAGCAAAGCATGCACCACTTTTCCTTGATATATTATCTGTCAACATTATAATATAATTAAACACATATACGAATATTATTATTACTAATAATTCTGTTTACTTCTAGGTTTCATCACAAACATTTCCGGGTTCGCCTTGACAATGTGCTCATCGATGACAAATAAATTATTGATCTGACACATATTCACACATTTAATACACAACACAATGTGTAAATAAGAACATTAGTTATGACATTGTAATTAAAAATAAACACTTTACCTGAAAGTATCTGTAAACTTACCAAATTGGTCAAAAACTGCGTTCCAAGATGGACTAAATACGTGTACACACCAACCCTACCTAACTACACATGTGAGACGGAAGTTCAAGATTAATACGATCTGCTGGCCGTATCGGTTGAATGATTTGTTCAAATAAAACCGGAGATTTAAATTCTTTTATATCCGACGCAACGAATAATTGATGAAATATCCTGTCTGTTTGCAATTTAAAAATTTGAATATTTTTCCGTATTTTTGGAAATGATAAAAGGTAAATTTATGTTAACTAATACGTATATTTTATATATATATTTAACCTTCACTGGTACACAAAAGGAGTTAAAACATACAAATACAGGAAACCGCCATTTGACTATTTGAGGGACACAAAGGGAATTTTAATGTACAGTTTTGCATTTTATCCCTTCAAGGACCAAGAGAACGATCAACTGATAGTATCCGAAGAATACAACGATGTTTATGTTCTCAGGTATCACTGTTTGAAACTAACCAATAAATAATATATATGTATATACGAATATATGTCACGTTAATTTTGGCCGTGTATCATATTATTGGGTCAAGGGTTAACAAAGTAAGAGTCAGTAATTACACTTATGATCAAAATTCAGCCGGAATTTTAAAAAAAAAGATTAATCAGAATAAGATGAGATAATTTGTTAGTATAAAATCCAAATTAGACATACAAATTAACAAATGTAACACTGACAAGATAAGGCTAAGATAGTTTCTTTTTTATAATTTGTGCCACAATTAACACGCCTCTCCTCAAATTCGCATAATATTATTTTATTTAGAACAGTGATAAAATGCTGCTACCTGTATGATATATTTATTCAAACACATGTACTAGATTTTTCAAAAGAAGAAAACAAGAGTCCTAAACATATATATATAGAATCATACATGTTAAATCGGGATTTATACCTCTTCAATTTTTTCCAAAGACGAGAACTTTATATATGTCGCTGATATTTACACAAGATACAGCTCCAAAACTTTGAAAGAATTGTATATTCGATAAAGGGAACTTTTCAGTAATTCATGGTTTGAATTTTTCTCTGAAAATGAGATTTTAAAGAATTATAAATTAGGATGTTCTGTAAAGCTAGACTACGATAAGAAATACATAATTGAGGGTATGGATGGGGGGCCTTCATTTCTTTATTCTTTAATTTTTTAGGCCACTTTTCTCTATTCTTTATACTTTTGCCCTTTATTCTCTATTCTTTATATTGTAGCACCTCATTTTTCTCTATTTTTTGTATTGTAGCACCTCATTTTTCTCTATTCTTTATATTGTAGCACCTCATTTTTCTCTATTCTTTATATTGTAGCACCTCATTTTTCTCTATTCTTTATATTGTAGCACCTCATTATTCGCTATTCTTTATTTTTTGTCGATTTTTCTCTATTTTTATATTACTTTTTGCCTATTATTCTCTATTCTGTAAACCCCCATCCACACCCTCATAATTCATTTAACCATTATTTCGCTTTTTTATCATCAGGATAAGGAGCCAAATGTGTTTGGGGGGCGGGGGGGGGGGGGGGCGGGGGGGGAGTGTATTCTGACTCTTTATTTTTAGAGTGTCAATGTTATGATTCAGGAAATGACTGATTAAATTAGTTGTAAGTCACGAATTAGTTACCCCTCTTCCTTCTAACACTAGCTAGTAAAGATGCATTTATAGGTAATATATACTTATTTATAGCCAAAGGAATACATTGTGCCTTGTTATGACCATTTTAGGTAAATTGTCAAGTTGTTGATCATCCATGTGTAAATCCTATTCTTATACTCAAGACAAACAATTATTTATAGGCTAACTTATGTGAGTGCTTATAGTGATATATGGTGTATACATGCTTAACGGCAACGCCTAAACATTAAGTTCGACTTGAAAAGCTTTCGAAAATTTGGAACTTTAATATTCTATTTGAGTTTTTGCATTACTAGTATACCTCTAATCACATAATGATATTCCTTTGGATTTAAATACAGAGAAGTGAGTCAGTTAAATTTTATTTTGATGATATTTGTTCCTGGTTCATTTCAATAGACTGCCGGTAAAAACAAAAATAGATTTGGTGATGATGTTTCTTGTACACTACAAGGTGTATTGGAATATGGTCTTTTGACTCCGAGAGGTGGTTTAAATCCCGAAATGAAATTCATTTAGTCAAAAGACTGCAGCATAGTTTCAAAATAGCAAGACTTCGTTTGTCACGATAAAGTTCACTAGCTAGTTATATATACGCTTATACTGCACTATCAAAAGTCTTTTAGTTATATTCTGAAAAATGATCGTTTATTGAAGTTGTTCCTTATTACTGTAGTGACAGTGAGCCTCACCATATACACACTGTGAACCTAAGTGCAGTTTCGTAATTGTTATCGTACCGTTAAACTGAGGTCATGTCAACTTTTAAACCTTTTCTGGTTTATCTAGAATAAGTCACCAGTATAGACGAATTAAATACTGTACAATACTAGTATACATGAACTTGCTTATAATATTTCAGTTTTTTTCAAAGAAGAAGCTGCAACTTTTGTTTAGTTCACAGTGGCCCTTTATCATGTTTATAACAAATTACTTCTTAAATGAGTTACTGACAATTTCTAAACAATTTTAGAATTTTGCTTAATATTTGAAAATTTTGTATAGATAGACCGAAAATGTACTCACAAAAAAGTCACATGATCGAAGATATCTATTAATTTACTTTATTTGAGTTTAATATTACCGTTATATTAGTATATTTGTACACATCATTCGTATTTTGTTTCAAAGAGTTTTGCTTTTAAAACAATTAAACCAATTTAAACCAAACTTGATGGCAAGACTTTTAAGACCCAGCACCGTCTCGGTGGTTTCGTGGTACCGTGTTCGCCTCCAGTGCGGGATGTCGTGGATTCAAACTCCGGTCGGGGCAAACTTTAAAATTGGTATTTACTGCTTCTCCGCTAGGCAGTATGAACAAAAACTGGTCGGCTCGGAGTCAGAATAATGTGTCCGGGTAGGGTGACATGTCTTCCTGCAGAATGTTACCTTGTGAACTAACACTTTAAAAATACAGCTCAGCTTGTCGGTCTAGTACAAGGCAGGGTCAATTTTCATATTACATTAGTATGTTCTCGTCCTGAATATGATTTACCACATCTTCTTATATCTATTGAAGTTAAACAGCCATCTAGCATCATCATCTTTAAGACCCAGTTTGAATAGAGCTTAGACATATTGTATCGACACCTGTCTATTGTTGAATATATGACAACTTGGACCAAAAAAAGTCGGACCAATTTTAAAATTTAAATACTTTTCCTTATTTATGTAAAAAAATAAAAGGTAAATTTATGTTTACTAATACGTATATTTTATATATTATATTTAACCTTCGCTGGTACACAAAAGGAGTTAAAACATACAAATACAGGAAACCGCTATTTGACTATTTGAGGGACACAAAGGGAATTTTACTGAACAGTTTTGCATGTTATCCCGTTAAAAGAACCAAGAGAACGATCAACTGATAGTATCCGAAGTATACAACGATGAGTGCTGCTGCCTTTTATGTTCTCAGGTATCACTGATCGAAACTAATCAATAAATAAATATATGAATATATGTCACGGTAATTTTGGTCGTGTATCATATTAGAGGGTCAAGGGTTAACAAAGTAAGAGCCAGTAATTACACTGATGATCAAATTCAGCCGGAATATAAAAAAAAAAGTTAAATCAGAATATGATGAGATAATTTATTAGTATAAAATCCAAATTCGACATACAAGACCAAGACAACTCAGACCACTTTTAAGACAACTCGGACCAAGACAACTCAGACCACTTTTAAGACAACTAGGACCACTTAAGCATTTTTAAACTGAATCTAATTTTGCACATTCAAGGATGTACAGTATGAAGCCTATTGCTTATTTACATGGCAATAAATATGATCCGAAATGTCAAAAAGATACCAGACTCATTATTTGTTACGCTAGATATTTTTATATGGGTCTAACCAGTGTTTTAAACTTGTCGGAGTTGTCTTTCAAACTGGTCCGAGATGTCTTTTAAATTACATTGGTCCGAGTTGTCCTGATTTTCTATTTTTGAAGACTGTGTTAGCCTCTATACATGTCTTTAGGTTAACTGCTACTGTGATATCTCATTGACGTATAACTTACATCTCCTTTTATTCATGTAATCATGGCTCGAAAAAGTTATGTCTTAATATCATTTGAATTCGCACTAACAAAAGCTGTATACTTGGAAATTTAAAAAAAAAATGGTTTCGGGAAGAAAAATTTACGGTGAAAATAAATAACAATATGGCATATTTCTGCCAAATTAGGGAATCGTAATTTTTTGACAAGGCTTTGAAGACGCTGGTACGTGTCCAATTTGTGCCAATTAATATACTGTAATAATGTGCCACTTTGTTCTGTCCGATTTCTTGCGGCAGGGATTTCTTGTTATATCTAAATTCTTCAAATTTTTTCTCATTCTGTTCTAGATCTAATGAACTCAAAGATTGTAAAGAAAAAGATGATTTTGATAATACATAAATAAAATGATAATCATAAACTTTCTTCTAATCAAACATTGCTTTCTTTGATGTTAAATATATAAAGATAAGTAGATTTTTTAGTGCTAAGTCAATAATTTGTTATCTAAAATGAATAGTTGAATACTCACTAAGTATGTTAGAATGAAAATGCACGTGTGGTAGATTAAAAAGAATGTTCATGGCTTGAACCTCAACGGAAACGATTTTTAATGTTTAAATTCCAACGTGTTTATTGTTTTTATTTAGCAGAAAACCTTTATGATACGTTTCTAGTTAGGAAAACAAAAATATGGTCCTGTTTCATGCCTCCATACCGAACCTTAACTTGTATGCCTACCCTAATACATTTTATGGACATATATCTAATATAAAAATAAGAAGATATAGTATGATTGCCAATAAGACAACTCTCTACCAGAGACCAAATGACTATTTTAGGTCTGCGTAAGGCCCTCAGCAATAAGCAAACCCCATACCGCATACTAAGCTTAATTAAATCCTGACATCTTTGGTTAAGCACTGTTTAAAGGTAGAACATTTGCTATATGAAATATATAAAAAAAATAACATTATTTTACCTACCTACCTACGCCTTTTCTCCCAGCAGTGAAACAAGTTTATATATATGTGTATTTTTTGCTTAAACACATAATCACAAAATTTTACAGCAGCAATCACATAAGTTATTTCTGCATTATAAGATAATCAATTAACCTCTAACCAAAAAGTGTCAAAATCAGATACTTGTAGCCTCAAAATTGGGAATCTATTTGATCAATAATCAATCTATTAAAAAGCTTAGAGTAAGTAATCTTATTTCATTTTCGTAGATTTAATTCAATTTTTATTTAAATTGAAAAGGAAAAATTGGGGTCGCTGTACTGGTTTTCTTTCTACATAACAAAATAGGAAGTTTACTGTTACAGTATCTTCTTTTATAAAACTAAATTACCGTAGTTATCTCCCCCATTAAGGCAAAGCTTTAACACATTTTTTTCAATCAATCGGACAATTTTCGTGTTTGTAAATAAAGTGCTAAGATACGATCATATAAATGGACATTGTAAAAATATATTGCATTTCTTGTACAAAGAAGGATAACTTCTATAAAAGATAGTTACATGTATGATAATATAAACGGTACCAATTTTACTGCACCGGATGCACATTTCTACAATTAATGTAACTTCAGTGATGCTCGAAGCCAAATATTTGAAAATCCAAAACCTAACACAAACGCTGAAAAAAAGCAAATGGACTAAAAGTAAATCGAAATCCGGACAAGGAGTTGAAGCTAAAGATGCACGAGGGAAAGGCATCCTTTAATTAGATTTTTTTTGAAATAATTTCGTTTTTTTTTTCAAACTGTTCAGACCTTATTCGCATGTACAACACATCTCCTTACATCCATATTATTTTGCATTCCAGTAAAACATTAAAATCATAGTACCTAAATCGAACTTTGAAATTCATTTGACAAAGAGTACCGAAAACCAACTGCACCTGAAGTAGGGATTCATTAAATCTCTGCACGATTGTTCAAAGCAGCAACTTCATTTTGCAAGAGAAACTATGAGTATAGCTATCATGTATATTTTATTTATGTAATAAATAGAACTAAAATACCAAAGTCAGGTAGGCACCTCTTTTATAACATTTTTCAACTTTCAATAAGAACAGTTTGTAATGATGCGTAGACACCTTTCAATAATTTATTGTTCATCTGCCCAACGATTCTAGGTATTCAGCTATTTTTGAAACCCCTTCGTTGACGATGCCTTGTGAACCTCCTTCCTTTGTATGGCCAATCACCACACCTGCTTTAGAACTTTGTAATGTAAGTCCACCATGGTCTTTCTTTTTAGCCAGGACGACTTTTTTATCCATTTCTCTTAAAAATTGATATTTGATTCCTTCAACGGTTACTCCACTGCTGGAAAATGAAGCGAAATCGCCAGATTTAAAAACTTTCCCAATACTAGCAGCCTCTTTTGCAGTTATCTTTAGGGCTTTTTTATGGCCATCTGTTGTCCATTTTGAACCATCTAGTCCTATTATACAAGCTTTGTCTGCATTACTTTTAGAACGGTCAATCAAATTATCTATATAACTATCCCAAGACATTTTATCTTGACTGGGGAAAATTAGTTCCTAAAAATAAAATATTTCATTTTATTTTTAAAGCCATTACTATCAACTGTGTTTGTTAACTGAGGTCATTATGAAAAACTTTCGCAAGACATACTTCTGTTCCATTAGCTTTAATGCGTTCAAAAGCAATTTGTGATATATAGTTTTTCAACCAGACAAATATTTCTTTAAAAAATCAAATTTTTTCACCATTTTAAAATCTGATTTGTTTACATGTCTGTAATTTAATAGTGGACAAAACAGGATATGCATACCATAGTAAATGTACATATTAACAGTAAATTACAAAGTTTTAAATTAAATCTGTATACGTATTTATTCACATTATTGAAAATATGTTTATATGTGAGAAAAATGATCTCAAAATATACTGAAAAGGCGAAGCTTGGTTATAGCATTATATTAAATTTTCTTCACTTGAAAATTAGTTACAAACGAACACATCTCAAACAAGTGACTTGTAATCCGAGAGGTCTTCGGGTATGATTGATTGATTAGTGTTTGCTTTACACCACCTTAGCACAATAGAAGCTATATCGTGACAAGAACTAGTTAAAATATTTATAATAAGTATTTTGGAAAAAAAGTTCCATTGCCTGACAGTCAGCTACATCTGACTGTTGTAAACAGCGTTCGACTTGTCAATCAATATTATTTTCACCTTAGCAGGTTGAAATTAGCGCAATAGTTTGTAAACCTGTTGTTTATTGTATGTGATCGACCTGTCAATGAATATTGTACCTTCACACGAGCAGGCGGAACTTAGCGCAATAGTTGAGCTGTTTGCCGGACAACCGGAAGTAGAAATTTAACCATGGTCGACTGCTCTAATAATGTCGTCCTTTTAAAATCATGCTTTATTACAAATAACAAATATTTTGATATTTAGACAAACCTGGTTTATTTAAAATTGACAGTTATTATAATAAAATAGATTAATTTTGTGTTTTGGATAAATAATGATTTATAAATGACTGGGATGATCTGGTGTAGTCATGACATTTGGCATGATCTGGTGTAGTCATGACATTTGGGATGTCAGAGTGACGTCAAGAGCATTTAAAATTGACAATTTGGATTAAAAAAATACACAATTTTGCATATAAACGTAAAATGTGGTAATATCAAATACGAACAAATGCTACTGGCTCTTCTAAAAAAATGTTTTAATTAAAACCATCATCTTGATATGAAAAGTTTTGTGACAGAATATATTTCAATTTTTACGAAAAGATCTCGAAATGAGGGGATTTTGAATTTTTTTCTCAAAATCTAAAGTTTGTAGGTTTCTAGATTTAGCATAAATGCAAGACATGATTCAAACATCTTACTAATTCATTACAGATCAATGTCTTATTAATACATGAAGGATGCTATTTGATAGAATTTTAATAATTTGTGAGTAATAAAAAGAAACCGACTAATTTTAAAAGTGAAAAAAAAAAAAAAACCTCAGTATACTCATTTGAATATAATTTTGTTAATGTATTTGACATATTTGGCACATTGCACATGCAGATATAAAAAAACAAAAAACCCACATAAAAGCGCTGAGTGTAAACAATTTCAAATGTACGTACTTACAATATATATTGATAAGAAACAGCGGCAATCTCAACCTTACTTTATTCAACTCGGGTTGCTTAATAAGATATTTTAGTCTCTTAAATATAAGTCTAAGACTTGACGCGGACCTCCGGCTTGTCAGAGGATTATCCGCTTACAATATTGACAATTAAGATGACGAGCGGGGTTTTATCAAGTGAAAAAAACACATCGGGTCTATAAATCCTGTTTTCATATTTATGAAAGATACATTTTGTAATAAAAATCAAGCGTTTATCACATCCCAGTTCATTGCTACATAATTATTTAAAAAAATACCAAACCTCTTTGTCAGAGTGAAATACATACCAAGTTGATTTGAATATTAAATAAACTATAAATGCGAAATTAATTTAGTTGTGTTGAATTTGAAAACTAGTAAGAGGTTTTACTTGAAAAGTCTTTAAAACAAGAGACAAAACTATATGTATTTCCAAAATAACTATTTGGAAGATTGAAAAGGGTACAACTGCTAGTGGAGTATCAGTCCCCGAGGGAAACATCCGCTAAGTAGCCATGGTGGACTATCAGTCCCCAAAGGTACCATCCGCTAAGTAGCCATGGTGGACTATATGTCCCCAAGGGTACCATCCACTAAGTAGGCATGGTGGATTATCAGTCCCCAAGGGTACCATCAGTTTTGTTAGCCAGTGTTTCGTTAAGGACTCAGGATCTTCATGAAACATTCTGTCACAACTTTTCAGTTAATAATTATTGTAATTATACTAAGCAGTGTAGACCATGGACAGTTTTAAGAGGCATTAATTATGTACTGTTGGTTATGTTCTCCGGTAATCTTTTGAATTTATGATGCAGGATATTCAAGAAACGCGCCGTACGCATAATGATATTCCGTATCATACTTTGTCGCTACCGCTGACGGTTTATATCAGTTCCGTCCTGAAGACAGTGTTTCGAAAGTGACATGATTTAAATAATGACATATTTGATGTTCAATTTCAAGTATAAAAACGGTATATAAACTATGTTTTTAAAGTTCACCTTACACGTTTTTTTATGAAGTCCCTTTGGTCATATTGATAAATTTCCAAAACTGTTGGTATCAGTCATATCCCTATGCAGGTTACTTTCCTCAAACACGTGTTAGGTGTCGTGATTTTATTTGATTTTAAGCATAAGTGTACATACAAGTTATATCAACTCTAAAAATTAGCAAAACTTGCTACGGTATAAGTTAGTACTGTATGTTTATTAGTGTTTTTGCCGTCTATAACTGCGATGTAGTTGTGTCTTACTTTTTCTCTCTCTATGAAGGCCATCGTTTTTCTACTGATATTGATAAAAAGGGGTGGATGGGGTGGGGGTTAAAAACAAGTTTCACCTTCTCCGTGTTAACGTGAATGCCCCAAGCCAGTTACTTTATCAATGGTTAGCTTTAGTTATTTCTGTCCTCTGAAGAATTAGTCTTGATAACAGAGCTTTAACAGTTCTATTAATTTATTAGAATTAATGAAAATAGTATAAAAACAAGGAGATGAGGTATGACTGCTATTGAGACCAACTGTCAATCAACGGACTGGAGAAAATTGCATCTACCTTACGGCCTTTAGAAACCCATACCATATATCATGCTATCGTAGGTCCCTGCATGGAGAACAAAACGTGAGACAATTCCAAAGAGAAAACTAGCTGCCTGTTTTTTGTTTACCTTAATCTGAATTGTTAATTTAAAATTCATTGAATAATTAAAAAGGTTTTTGAATAAGATTGTCTACATATCTTCTCTGTATTATGAAAGGAAATTCCAATGTCATACAGAAGTAAAAGTACGTATATTAATTGTAGCTAATAGTCGTTTAAACAATGTTCAAATATGAGTACACAATATGTTAATTATGTCAATTGTATCTACTTTTATGTATACAATTATAGTTTTATTGGTTATATGTCTGCATTTCAACTTCCGGTTTTTCCAAATCATCATACGTGTTGGGAGGTTCAAGTTCTAAATATGGTCTCTCAGAAGACGTGTCACTACCAGAAGTATCAACAGGACCATTTTCATTTTCATTGTCTGTATCGTCACGGTATATTTGACTTTGTATACTCTGAATTTCTTCATAAATAGAAATGTGTTGCAAGCTGAAATGAATATATTTTGAAACTTTGTAAAGCAATTATATTGCATTCAACAACACAGTACATTAGTTATTCCTTCTGTTTAAAGTTTAATATACGAAATACAGTTCATTATTAATGCTATTATAGCTTATTTCTTTTGTGGATGACCACAATTTATAAGTAGGAAATCCAATTTACAAGTGGCGAAATAAGTTTGCGAGTTTGAGAGTGAAAATGCGTGCAGCAAACATCTTGTATCAACTAAATGCTTGTTTTGCAATAATGAGTGGAACATTGGAACATATCTAATGCCAAATCATAGGTAGAATGAGTGAGCTCGTTTATTTTTACCGTTTTACAAAATGTACATTTAAACCTGGTTTAAAATGACTTTAACTACACCAGGCATTGCTTGCTGGTTCATAGTTCACATAAACCAGTTGAATGTAATTTGTCATCATCAAAGTACTACATGATATTTAAATGTATGCCTCAACATTTAAATATGTTATATAGATATATATATATACATATATCTGGGTTTTTTTGTGTTTAATTTCTATTCTGTATTTTGTTACTATACATTGTACATCATTTTTAATTGATAATAATCATTGTAATAAATTGTTTGTAATTATACTGCCCTCCTAGGGCGTCTTTGATTGACAATAAAATTATTGTATTGTATTGTATATATGGTTGCTCATTTATACTAATATATATAGTGTATACTGGAGTAAACGTTTTATTTTTTGCGCATTTGATATATGCAATCTAAAAAAAATTTTTGCGCAAACTTTACATTGGCGCTATCGAACGACAAATCGGTGCAATAGAGAACGCCCCTGCAAAAAGTATTATTATTTCGTTAACAGGAAGAACATCAGTCTATAATTTCTCTTTAAATTTTATAAGTGGTTATTGCAGTACAATATAAGTATATTAAATATGAATACATTTTGAATCTAAAAGACAACACTTTTGATATAAGTTTGGTTTTGGTAAGAATGTCTCTTTTATACATTTAAAAAAAAAATTAAATACTAGAAACTTGTGAAACTATATAAATTTTAGTTAACATTAAAGGCTTTTCTTATTCTAGATAAATTCAGGACAGATCTTGCCCCATTCTCTATGTTATGTTTGATTCATAATTTGTGACATTTACAAGAAAAACAAATTCATCATAAAAGCTCATTGACACCCGACTAAATTTATACCAGTGGTTTTTTTTTTCTTCGAAAAATATTTTGGCATATTACCTGTTTTCTTCGTCTTGTTGTTGTTGTTGTGTTACTCCAGTTGTTACGATTTCTTGACTAAAAAATGAAAGTAAAATTACAGTAAAAAAAGATAATATTATTATTATTATACCAGTCAATTTATTGCTAAACACAAAACCATGTAACTATTTTACAATCATACCAGAATAAAATCATTGTCTGCCATTCAATATGCTACCGATACGACCCATCCAAGAATACATTTCAGACTACGAGTCGGTAGCATAGTAGCATGGAAGTAATATTTCAATATTACTTCCATGATAGTAGTAAACGGCAAAGTATAAGATTTGAAAAATGATTGAATATGGTAGGAACTGCTTGAAAACCAACACCAACAAACCCCAAGGCTTTATATCCTTTCAAATGTTACTGGGTTGAATGCTGCATCATAAAGTCTACAAGAAAAGGACTGTGTACATATTTTCCATACACAATTTTACAGTGAAACGCGATATTATGTATCTGATTAAATACAAGTGCTATCATGTACATATTCAGTTGATAGATATTAAATTATACAGTGGATTTATGACATACTTTATGCGGTTAAGATATAAAACTATAACTAAACATTTATAAGGGGAAATTCAGATAATGTAATTTACAATGGCTTACCGTGACCCATTTAGACAAGTTATCTTACTAATTTATAACAAATGAAACTGATACCTGTAATGATATAATTTCTTTATTAGACATATTAAGTAAAACAATACAATACCTTTGCCCAGTGGTATCTACCGAGTCTATAGCAGAGGATGGAACATACCTAACATGTAAAAAGAACAGCACAAAACGAACAGTTTGATGAAATCGTCCATTTTTTTTTTTATATAATCGGTTTAATGGAATTACACCCCCTTTCAAAGATCCTGGATCTGCCTCTGGTTATGAATGCCTACACTTGTGTTTATTAAGATATTGACCACAATGCAGATAAAAAAAAACCATAAAAGCTAGCTGTAGTCCAGTTGTAAAACTCTTTAATTTTTCATACTGCATGGTAAGTCCATTAGTTTCCTGGCAACGGTGGGGCCTTTGAAAATTTTAAACTATACAAAATGGCGAATACGATAACTACCAAACACTAGACTAGACTATACCTATTTTTTGTGTGGTGTAAAGCGGTTCAGTACCAAATATAACGAATAGGTGTAAAGCATTAATTTGGTGATACTAATCATACGTGTTGGATACACAATTTCAGCTACATTTGGTGACCATAATATATTCACAAATCACTAGTGTTAATGATTGTGTTTCTCAAATCGAGCAACATATGCCAAAAATTATATGTTTCACGGTTGATTTTGCATTTTCAACAGTAGAGACATACGATTTTGAGGGCTTGTAGTCACAATACTGCGAACAAAGGAATTCAGTTGGTATGATAGGAGCCATTATTTGTCCCCTGAAATTGCAAAACTGGTAAAATTATTCAAGTACGTTAATTTTATTGATAAATGAGCAAGTGGAATTATATTTTTGACAATTTAGTGCAGAAAAGTAATTTATATGATTTTATAAAGATGTCGAAATTCACATATTTGACCTAAAATGACCATTTTACATATTGTTTTTCCGACAAAAAAGCTTGACCGCTTCTTTCAAGCACTCTTGGCTATATCGAGGCGGCCAGTTTTTTTTTGGAGGGGGGGAGGGGGGTGGAGGAAACCGGAAAACCAGGAGAGAACCACCGACCTTCATCAAGAAAACTAGCAATTCTCGACAACTAAGATAGGAATCATACGCACCTGCCACAAGCGGGATTTGAACTCATTGACAGGCTAGTGATTAATGTAGATGAACTACTTAGACCACTCAGTCACCGTAGCCCAGACACCATAGATATGGACCAAAGCCTTACTCAAATAGATTTAAAATTTACATATTTTCAAATAGATTTTTTCGCAAACTTGACTAAGATCTTAATATAAATTCCGAGATCTCAAAAAGAGGCCATTTTGGCAGTTTTTGCAACCAAATGCAAGAAATTTGAAGGAAATTTGAAGCCCTAATGCAAATATGTTTAACTTAGACAAAAAAAATATATCGATAAGTGGGCCAAAATAGTGGCCTTTTATCATACAATCTTCCTTAATCACAAAAAAAAAACTTTTCTAGACCCCGGCCATTATGTGAAATACATAAGTCCATTTAAAGTTAGATCGGTATGCTGTGACATCTCATTGTTCAATTTGATGAGAAAAAACTGCATCTAGCACACTTCAGACCAATATCTGTGAAACGCAATTACTAATAACATCACAGGATAACCAAACGAACACGAGAGCACAACCTAAACTGAAGTTAACAAAGCTTGATAGTTACTAGAATAGCTGACTTTTGGACGAATGCTAGAGTTGTGGAGTATAATGGTTTTAAATCGAAACTTTAAAACTAAATTATATGATTTATATGGAAACCGTTTTACTATTTATTCTAACTTCAAGATATCTCAAAAACGTTATAAGATATCTCATATAGTATATAAGATATCTTATATAGTTTATAAGATTAAGATATCTTATATAGTTTATAAGATATCGTATATAATTTATAAGATATCTTATATAGTTTATAAGATATCGTATACACTATATAAGATATCTTATAAATATATGAGATATCTTATAAAGTTCTTATATGCTTTATAAGATATCTCATATACTTTAGAAGATTCTCTACTTCAAGATATCTCAAAAACGTTATAAGATATCTCATATAGTATATAAGATATCTTATATAGTTTATAAGATATCTTTTATAGTTTATAAGATATCTTATATAGTTTATAAGATTAAGATATCTTATATAGTTTATATGATATCGTATATAATTTATAAGATATCTTATATAGTTTATAAGATATCGTATACACTATATAAGATATCTTATAAATATATGAGATATCTTATAAAGTTCTTATATACTTTATAAGATATCTCATATACTCATTGACAGGCTAGTGATTAATGTAGATGAACTACTTAGACCAAATAATTCATATACTTTAGAAGATATCTTATAAACTTTAGAAGATATCTTATAAAGTATATGAGATATCTTATAAAGTCTATTAGATATTTTATAAAGTTTATAAGATATCTTATAAAAAACTAGATAATATAAGATATCTTATATATTATATGAGATATCTTGAGGTTCAAATAAATAGTAAAACGGCTTGCCATAGATTTAAATAATGGCAATACTAAAGCTGAGGCTACTTAATAGATTGTGCTTTCCAACAATGAGAGTCCATTAAGTGTGATACTGATCTATAGTGTAATGGTATAATACCGGTATGGTTTTGCATATGCCACTTGTCTGGAAAACCTTTCATCAAACTACATTAAGCTTGACAGCGATTGAAGCCCAATATAACTTTGGAATACTAAAACTTATACGATTGAGCTGTTTTCTAACTGTATGTTTTAAAAACATAAAATGGTTCAACATGTATGAAATAGTTAGCATTCCACGAAAGTATTGCAACCTTAAAAGTAATGTACCGACAATGGTGCGGGTAAAAGTTTGGAAATAGTAATCCACTGTCAGCTGTATTGACACAGACAAGTCTTATATTGTTACTGAACCTATCAGTTTCACTTGATTTAGCTCAAGTAATGTTACGGTAATGGGAGTTTTTGAACAATGTTTCTTGGTTTTGTTTAATACTCTTATAGCTAGAAGAAGTGCCACTAGGGATTACCCAACAAATCTTAAGACACTCTTCATATAAGTCATGATATTAATTCAGCTTTCAAGAATGAACATTTTAGACGAGCTTTTTTTTGCGATGTAGCACTAAATACGTTCGTGTTCCTTGCTTGTAAAATTACCTTTAGCTTGAATGTGAAAATCATAAAATCATTGATACAATTTGCATCAGCAATGTAAAGTTAAGTTTCCTGTAAATAAGCAATTGACCGGACATCACATTAGGTTACACAAGGATAATTCAAGAACGATTTGTATAAATTGTGTAACTATCTTATTTGGATATATACTTCTATGCAAGGAAGAGAGACAAAGGCAGGAAAAGGGTATGTGATGTCTGTACTAGTGTTCAATTGGAAGTGTAATATTACTGAAGATATAAAACTATTTAAAATAAGGGGATATGGTACATTTGTTTTATTTGTGTTTTAACGTTTCGGTCCTGACCTAACTTTTAAGAAATACATTTTTTGTTCTGATTTTTAGCTGACCTTTGATATGCTTTTTGAAGACTTTCAAGTGATCTCGAGATATATTTTCGTGCCACACATTGTCACATAGATATATCAATAATACATCTAATCTTATTTATAAGCAACGGATACGAGTTAATCCTGCATGTACAAGGACACATCAATATTGAATTTGGTTTACAAGTGTATTCGATATCTTAAGGCCTTTACTCTCAGTTCAGAAAGTAATGGATTTAGATAAAAGGTGAAAAGGATGATAAAATCAATAAGTTTGGCGTCTCTTTGGTGTGTAGTTTTGTTGTACCTGTTGAGTTAAATATCGCAGTATATACATATATATTGCAAGCCTACTTTACCCTGCTTTATACTGAATTCATTCTGTGGAATGAAACACTGAAACTCAAAATTTATACTTATCTTGGGATACTCTCTTCATTAGCTGTGTCCGATATACTACAACGTTAATTACACCAATAATTGTAAGAACAGCAAAAGCACCGACCGTTCCATAAATATATGTCAGTTGACTTTTAACTACAAATACAGTAATACAATTGAAAGACGAAATGTAGTAAGTAGTTCTTATACAGTTTTCCGCATACAATAAAAAAAACATGCAAAAATTTGAATCAACGTACTCAACTGATATAGCGTTGTATAGTTATTTATTTAGTATGTTTGTAATAGTTTTGTAAAATTTTGGAACATAAAAAGAACAGATACAAAAAGTAGTAAATTAGATACTTATTTCAAACTAAAAACTTGTTTTTCTAAAGAAATGTATCTATCTTTAAACAATTTTCAATTGAGAAGTGCCATATGTAAAATCAGAATCAGTGCCCATGATCTCAAAATAGAAAGAGACAGGTATAAAACTTTATATATAGAAAGAGATCAAAGGCTTTGTAAGAAATGAACCCTTAATTTGGTTGAAGATGAACAGCATTTTATTACTAGTTGTCCAGCATACAAAGACGATAGGGAGATATTTTTCAAGGAGATAAACAGTATTTGTCCTAATTTTTCATATCTCTCAAATGAGGCAAAATCTGTTTGGTTATTTACTAATGAAAATTTGTCTGTCCTTAAATATTAAGGGAACGAACTATATTATACAATTATGGCCCGTTGAAAAGGTGAATATCCAAAATTGTCAACACGAGAAGGTTATTTCACTGAGGGCGCAGCCCAAAGTGAAATAACTTTTAAGGGTTGACAATTTTGGATATTCATCGCTTCTAAAGGGCCACAATTGTTTTATTATACCGAACTAACAGTGGAAGGGCATTTTGAATCATTGTAAAAGCACTTACCCTTACTTGAGTCAGTAACAAACACAAGTTGACGTTCAAAAATACATGTAATTTGTGTCTTAGAATTCTCGTATGTACAACAAAGGTAGATTCTTTTTGTAAAATATTGATGGCCCTGAAAAGGACCGTTATTAGAGATATCATCGGCACAAGATGCACGTCAAAAGCCTTATTTCCTCTTCTCTTGATCAATGGGCTTCCTGTAACTTGAACGTTGCCATTTTGTTTATTTACGTTTGTGACGTCATTTTCATGAGTACAAATCAACAAACTAAAAAGGTTATTCGCCGGTGAATAATAGGGTTATTCAACGCTGGTGTAATTTTTAAGGGTTATTCGTTCTTCCTTGCAATTGAATGAAAATTAACTGAATTATTCCATGTCACGTGATAACGTTTTACCCAATAGAATTGTTTGAAATATATGTAAGGTATAATAATATTAAATGTCTAGATGTTAGACGAGACGTTAATTAATATATGTAATAACAAGGATAATTGTAAAGATTTTATGGTTCTGGTCCTGCCTGGAATTAGATGTACATGACTTATATAAAATGAAGAAATATATGTAGCTCTATCATGATAACATCTATCTGAACTTTTTATATTTCATTTCAATAAAAAAATGTTTTCTGTTACAAATCACAATGTATTGTTTTGTGTGTATACATGTCATGCTGCCCATCAAGGACCCCTGATTGGAATAATAAATATTCTTATTCTTATGCATTTTATTATATTCATACACCAAATTGAATGTCTAGAATCTCCTGGGTAACCACTTTATGTCTCTACTTTACAGTTGTAATTATATTTTATGCTATGTACGTTTATTTATTTGTATATGTCTCTATACCACTGTACTTTTGGTTTACGAGAATAAAGATACATATATATATATATATATATTTCAATTTAGACTTATTATATATATATATATATATATATATATATATATATATATATATATATATATATATATATATATATATATATATATATATAAGTACCTATAAATAGCAGCACATGACATACAAATCTATGGGAGTGTGGATTAATCAGTACAGAGATTAATTCAATTACACAAATAAAATTATAGATTGCCTAACAATGTAATTTTAACACACTATTTAGTATGTAAATATAAGAATGTTTAAAATATTTACAAAATGATGAAAATAAACGCAATATTTCGCTAGGCTAACTAGCTTTATCAAGCGTGCATCTATCCAGGTGAAATCGGATGTAGATGATAAGAAACTTTTGCAGCTCAATGTATATGTTAAAAAGTTTCTTATCATCTACATCCGATTTCACCTGGATAGATGCACGCTTGATAAAGCTAGTTAGCCTAGCGAAATATTGCGTTTATTTTCATCATTTTGTAAATATTTTAAACATTCTTATATTTACATACTAAATAGTGTGTTAAAATTACATTGTTAGGCAATCTATATAATATAACATCTTCACACGCTTAAAACACATGTCTTATGTCTATCTCTAGATTCGCCTTACGTGACAAGGTAACACTACGACTATTGAAGTTATATTTTAATATAGCGGATGTGGTCGTGTGGTCTAGAGCGCTGGACATGAGGCTAAGCGATTGGTGCTGTAGTGTATCAAAGGTGTGAGTTCGAATCCCGTTGAGGGACAAAAATTTGTCAGCATAAAAGTCTAATTCTAACACTGTTGGGTGTAATTTTCAGACTTATATATATATATATATATATATATATATATATACAGTCGAATTATGCTATGCCATAATCTTGTTTTTGTGGAGAATATTAATATTATAGACAAGACATGCTTTACCAGAGGAGGAAGTAAGTTTGATAGCTATCCATTTCATAAGATAAAACAGCTAAACAATTCTTATTTTTTGAATGATTTGTAATGTTTTTGTTCGCCTTTTAAGAAAAGGAAAGAAAAAATAACAAGGAAAATTAAATTGAAATGATGTAATGAAATTTCAGTTTCGCAGTAATGTAATACCATATTAATTTTTGTATATTGTTTGATATTAGTTAGAAAAGAACCTACAGTATAACAAGGAAATCAAAATATCAAAGATAAAAAAAACCCCATAATAAATGAATGTTGACAATTGCAACCGAAAGGGAAGTATACAAAGTCATAAATGTAGAAGTATACAAACTTTCCATATCATTTCCTCCTTTTGTTTCATTTTCCCAAATGCGGATAGCATCTAAAACTTCTTTTTCTTGAAAGTTAGCTTCTATTATACCAAAATGATTTCGTACTGAACAAGTGTATATACAATCCGAATGATTTGGTGCAGTAGTTAACAACATGGCTGCTTTAAATCCTTCTACAGAGATGACTTTGTTGTAGATAGTCAGATTGACGTATTGTCTGTTTAACGGTGAAGTACTCGGATGCTGAATTGTTTTGCTATTGAATAACCACTTTATTTGAATTGGTTCAGGTTCGGAATAAAAGTAAACATTAAGTCTTATACTTGATTTGTTCAAAACGACTATGTCTGTATACGAGAATACTGGAAGACCTGCAGAAAAATATTATCTATCATAACATACATGTACAAACTGGAAACTTTTATAAAATTAAAAACAGAACAAATTTTTCTTTTACATTTGAATAGGGTCTATAGTTAAAATCATTCGAAACTATGATTTTTTCTACCTCCAAGCATAGATGACGAAGGAAGAATCGGCAGAACATTTCGGAATATGTTTGGATTTTGAATGCCCATCTACTGATTATAGATTAAAGCACCACTGATGAGCCTGAAATAAGATTTGGTAGAACTGTTTGTAATTTTAGGATTATGATGCTCTTCAACTTCGTAATTAATTTGACCATCTAACTGATTCGATTCAAGCACAACTGACGAGTCTTATGTAGACGAAACGTGCGCTTAGCTTACTAAATTATAAGCCGGGTATCTTTAATGATTTAATAACATTCGATCATCATTGAATGATGTAATATTGCATTCTGGTACCATAGTGTTCTTGAATTGGCCTTTCGATCAATATTCTATATATAAATACCGATTTACCGCTATTTAAGATACAAGCAGCTCTCGGCAGTATTTTAAAGCTCTTCTCTTCTTTTGCAATGCGCACTCTGTATATTTACTAAAAGTTCTTAAGGTAACATTTATAATATGTCAATACAAATACCAAATATAAAAATAAGGAGATGTGGTATGATTGCCAATGAGAAAATTATCCACCAAAGTTCAAATGAAGTGGATGTTAGCAATTATAGGCAAACGTACGGCCATCAACAATGATAAAAACCCATACCGTATAATCGGCTATAATAGGCCCCGACATGTATGGGCTATGCGTAAAAATAAATAAATCCGATCATGGAAACTGAAAAAAATGAATAAAATATCTAGAGTCAATGACATTTATGCAACGTTTACGCTAGGAATGAATAGATTTCATATCGCTTATTTGAAATAACTCTTACCAAAGGATGAGGTGGATAAGGATTATGATTTTGCCCCTAAAATTCGTTAAAGTTGTTTTTACACTTTATAAATTTGATGTGTCCGAAGTACTCTTCTGGGTTTGACAATCACCAGGAACACTCAAACCCAAAACTGTGAAAACATAGGATGTCCGTACCGACCTTAAGAGCTGTGAAAACAAAGGATGTCCGTACCGACCTTAAGAGCTGTGAAAACATAGGATGTCCGTACCGACATTATGAGCTAAGCCTGTTTGGATCAGAATAACATAATACATAAAAGTTTAACAAGAATAACAATATGAAAACTGGACAGTACATCAGACTTCTTCAATCACCGAAAAGGTGACATTTATTTTAACCGTGCGGGCTAACACTTCAAATATCATACTCAAGGCGTCAGTCGAATACAAAGCAGCTCACTTACAACTAATCGTCGTGAATATGCATACAGTATGCGCTGCATGTATAAAATTCCTTGATAAAGAAAAATGGAGAAAAAAAAACATAAAATCTTGCATTTGAGAAAAAGAACGATTTCAGTACGAGATAGTTTCATTCATGCTCTTACCATGAACAGTTATTTTTGCAGTTGACTTGTACACTTTCTCTCCAGAGTTCCATTTGCAGCTGTACGTTCCGGTATCTTTGTAATCGCAGAAATTTATTGTCATTGTGGAAACATTGCCATTCATTTTCGAGGAGGGTGATCGAATAAAAATGCTTTTTAGCTTATGAATCCATGAAACTGTCCAACCTGTTTGAATATATATGTCCTTATAAACACATGTCAGTTCCACACTTTCTGACGTATTGCAAACTGCTTCATATGGTACCACAGTGACTACTCGAGCTGATAATATATTATTGCATCACTTTAAAAAATGTAAAAACATACCAAAATGCACAGTAGTATAATTTCTAGAGTAAAATTTCAACTTCAAAACAAAGCGTCAAGGATGAGAACAATCCGAAATTATAGAAATCAAATTAAGCATTCAACGTTTCATGGTCTAAGACTAGCACACTTTTTTCTTTGGTATCGTTTAAATGACATGGACTTATCCATTAGCTTAAAGCCAAACAAAGTTTGGATTGTATACCCAATGTTTTATTAAACAGTCAACTGCGGTAATTTTAAAAACACAGAATATATACATTTTTAATTACAGAGATTCAGAACTTTACACTGTATACTTGAATGAAGGCATTGCAAGTCGTGTTGACATAAGAGATTTTTAAGTAATCGATTTTTATTTGTTCAGCAATATTATAAAAATCTTACAAAGAAGTTCAATGACGATATCTATACTGCCAACTTCATTTCGAATTCTTATTTCATATTTTCCTAGGTGACTTTCTTCCTCTGGAAGAATTGTAGCTGAAACGGAATATAAATTATCTCTTTTAGCCTTAACTGTCCAATATCCCAATTTCCCTCCGACAGACAAAGTCCATGAAATTTCTGGCTTTTGAAAACTATCAATGGTCAATGTTATTTTGGTCGGTTGTCCGAGCTCTGCTTCATACTTGTAGTTTGTGAAATTATCAGCTACTGTGGGCATATCTAGTTAAAACGAGAAAATTAAGTCATATTTATGTTAGGTACACAGACAATTAGCAAAGAGGAAACAATACCAGTAAATACTCATCTACACCCAGTCTCGTAACTGTTTTGATTCTCAAATATTAGCCATTTTTCAATTTATGTTGTACATGATCGAAAATATTTTTAATTGAACTAGACATATATTTTAAGTACCTTTTGTTATATGTTTTATAACGATTATATTCATAAATGTGTTCTTAAACACTCACATTTAACAATTATATATAAACTATCTACACCAGTTCCTGCACTGTTTGCCACTTCACAAGTGTAAAGTCCAGCTTGATCTCTTTGAACTTTTAACAAAGAAAAATGATCATGACTTTCTCTTGCAATGACTTGTTGGTTGAATTTCCAAACCAGATCTTTGGGATGAGTATTTGTTTCATTTAAACACTGGAGCGTCACGTTGTTGTTTTCTGTAACATTTGGTGACGGTTCTGCATACACACGGACTGTCGGAAATACTGCAATAAAAAAGACATTAAATTAGCAATTTTTGATTGAAATAGGATGATGTAACTATTGATGTAACACATTTCTGTTGTCATGCAATGTCCAAGTACTGAACAATTTAAAAAGATTGCTAAGCATTGTTGACATAATATGTAGCTTTAATTAATTTAAGAAGGATCGACATTGTATGTTACTTCATCACAACAAATTCATACATGAACTTTAGCATAACATAAAGCAACGGGACAAAGCTTTTGTTAATGTTTTTTTTATTAATCTCAAAGTCACAGTGAAACCTTTATCTGGTGGCAAAAACTCACGCCTCACACCAGCTTCGATCGGGTTTAACGAATATATGCCAATAACACTACATCAGGATTGTGATATGAAGACGGACACTAATGCGAGGTAAAATCAACAAAAACAGACTAAAAGTCTTCTTTGGATGGTTCTTTGGGTGTTAATTGCACCTTTGAAAATGTGGAAGAAAAGTTTTCTAAATGTTAATTCCTTCTTCAACTGAACAAATCTGTGCAAGATAAACAACGCATATCATTACATAAGAATAAAACGCCAATATTGTTATGAAAACAAACCTTTCACAAAGAACGGCAATGTTGTTTGGAGTTTGAAGAATCCGTTGTCTGCTATACAGGTGAAATTGTCCATATGGTCCTCTTTAGAAGGTATAAATATATACTGAACTACTGTTGTATTCGTAACATTAACAACATCATCTCCATATAGTAAAGATAAAGTAGGTTCTGGTAAACCTCCAATGACGGAACAATTTACTTCCATAGCCATACCTTCAACCCCAGTTATCCTTTTGGAACTATTGTCTCTGTCAATTGTAATGCTGGATGGTTTTTCTGCAAAAATAATTTTGATACTTTTTGTATGTAATGTGGTTTGAATTTTACTCATTATTATATATAAAGCATTGCATGCACTGAGGAAACCTTATATACCACTAAAGAGAAATAGTATGATTGCCATTTTGTTCTTGTATCTCCCAAATGACGTAAACAACTATAGATCTTAAGGTGGTACCCAACACCTTGACTAATATTTATTTGGCTCGTTTAATTTTCATAAATTTTTTACAAAATGTTTACTTTGACCCTTTGACAAAAATTTAAAATTTCAAAAAATTTGAACCAACCACTTTATCAGAAAAATTTCATTGGTTATATAGCAGTTTGACAAACACTAATTTTGATCATTGAGAAGCTTAATATTTCCTTAACAATACAACGTAATTAAAACGTTTAGCTGATTTTCACAGAGTTATCTCCCTGTAGTGTTAGGTACCACCTTAAGGGCATACGATACAGTTACAGGGGAGGTATTGACGTTGCTAACGTAAATTGTTATTTTCACGACGTCAAACTGCGACTTATCGGGAAAAAATGCAGTTTTCGACTGTTTGTTATCATTCAAACTGATTTATCTTGAAAACGAGTTCATGGACCCCTCTTTTTTAAAATGACATTTGGTTTGAAATTGTATGAAGATTATGTGTACCAGTTTTCATGAAAAAGTCAATAATGCAATTTCTTTAAATTTGATAAATATACAGCAAAAAATGACGGGTTTTTTCTACATTCATGAACATTTGATAAATATGAGTTATTTGTAAAAATAAAATGCACAAATATATAGGACATTTGTATAAAACAGAATTTACAAATAATTTAACAAAAAACAGCTTGTGTTTATCTTTTAAAACAAAAAAGTTATGAATTTCTGTCGAAAGGAAAAATACGTCCACAAATCCAAATTTTGAGCAAATATCTGAAATTTCGACCTCATTTACTCAAAAAGTAGCAAATGAAGGTATATTTTTTATTACATATTTGATTAAATCAGGTAAAAAATAGCCTATAAGCAAATTTTCATTTAAATTTCATTATGGGATCAAAACTGTATCGTATGCCCTTAATACGGCCATCTACAAAGGCCAAAACCCATACTGTATAGTCAGTAAGAAATAAAAGACCTCCACATGACAACACGCGAAATAATTATATAAGGAAACCAATGGACTGATTTATGACAAAGCAATAAACGATAAACAAATGTGACGGACAGCAACCAACGTCAACAACTAAATTACAGGTTCTTTACTAGGCAAAAGCAAACAAGGAACGGATTAAACAAGTTTGTAAGCGGCCAACCCTTCCCTAATCAAGCTGGAACAGTGGTGCAACAGACAAACACAAGAACAAACCTTATTAATCAGTTGAAAATGGCTCTACTCACCCTTATAGCTCATTTTAAATGGGCAATATATATATATATAAGTCTAAATTGAAAACAACGTTCAAACCTATGATTGCGTTGGATAAAAACCTCAATTTTTATACGTGTGCATGCAAAACAAATTTCTTGTTAGAGGGGTCTAAATATAGCACAAACAACATTTTCCAATAGACCAAAACAGTGAAAAAGTATATTTTAACAAAACGCATTTGACTAACAGGTCGAACAACAAATGTTCTTAAACCCTGCTGACTGCCATTGGCGATTGCCAAATAAACAGATCACAAGGTGTAATAAATGGATCTTAACTATAAATTTAATACCAAACAGAAAACAATAAACTTGCGGCAAAGATGGTTTACCGCAAACAAAGATGCAAAGATTTTGTACACCATATCCGGATTTCGACAAATAATGTCTCTTCAGTCATGTTAGGAATCAAAACGGTTATTGGAAGGCCACATAATTTACCTCAATTTAGGATAGACTCTTGAATTTTGAGGAGTCAAAATAGGACGAACGGATCATATAAACCCGAAGGCAAATATAATACAAGCCCAAACGAAAAAATATAAACAAGTCTAAATTGAAAACAACGTTCAAACCTATAATTGCGTTGGATAAAAACCGAAATTTTTAAACGTGTGCATGCAAAACAAATTTCTTAATAGAGGGGTCTAAATACAGCACAAACAACATTTTCCAAAAGACCAAAAAAGTGAAAAAGTATATTTTAATAAAACGCATTTGACTAACAGGTCGAACAACGGATGTTTATAAACCCTGCTGACTGCCATTGGCGATTGCCAAATAAATTGATCACCAGATGTAACCAAATGGATCTTAATTATTAATTCAATACCAAACAGAAAACAATAAACTAGCGGTTTTGTGTTTGGTAATAATTCAATAATAAGATCTGTTTTGTTACATCTTGTGATCCGTTTATTTGGCAATCGCCAATGGCAGTCAGCAGGGTTTAAGATTAACAAAATGCATCTTAACTATTAATTCAATACCAAACAGAAAACAATAAACTCTCGGAAAAGATGGTATACCGCAAACAAAAGGTGCAAAAATTAGTACACAAAATCCGGATTTCGACAATTAATGTCTCTTCAGTGATGTTAGGAATCGAAACGGTATTTGGAAGGCCATATAATTTACCTCAATTTAGGATAGAGTCGAAATAGGATTAACGGATCATATAAATCCGAAGGCTAATATAATACAAGCCCAAACGAAAAAATATAAACAAGTCTAAATTGAAAACAACATTCAAACCTATGATTGCGTTGGATAAAAACCGCATTTTTTATACGTGTGCATGCAAAACGAATTTCTTGGTAGAGGGGTCTAAATAAAGCACAAACAACATTATATATCATTTATTTAGTTTCTGAATTTTGTTGAGTAATGATTTGTTATCATAGAAATACTTTACCAGCTAACTTAGTAATGAATGGATGCTCCGTCGTCTTCCCATCCCTAATGGTATCACATTTGAAAAGACCTTGATCGCTTTCAAAAAACATTTTAAAATGTAAATTGTATTGTCTTGTCGCCTCGTCTTTGATAATGGTTATACGATCATCCTTTTGAAACTTGTCATTTGTTTTCATATTTATTCCATACAGCATCAAATATGGTGGTCCACGCCATATTATTGCTCCTGTGTCCGACGAAAACGGACAAATGAAAAGGACTGATGAGTTGACCTTGACGTAGATAATATCAATTGGATCTCCTAAATGTAAATCAAATAAAACTATATTTTGGTTATACTTTTTAAAATATTGAACATTCAAATAAGATTTCCATGAAGCTGACAATTCACAACATCCAATATAGCCTACAAAATGCCAAGTGTATTTAATTTGGTATTGTGTGTAAAACAAGAAAGTATAACTTTTTTCCAAATTTTGACGAAGACATGAAACTTCTTCAGAGAAGTTTTTATTTGAAAATGTTTTTCTTATGATTATTACTTTAAAAAAATATATTCTAATAGTTCAATTGATTTGATTTTACATTCACTTGTTTATCTCCAATTGTTTTTATTGAGAATAACATGTTTAATGCATACTGTAACTCTGCATTTAAATAAATGTGATAGTTGCTTCGAAAAGTGTGCTAGAAGGTTAGTGTTAGTAGGTAATAAAAATAAAATGGTTTTGAATTCACCTTCAGATCGTAATATGGATCCGCTGATCAGTAATATTAGAATGGTTCCACGATGACGCATCATGACAAACTTATCCTTTAAACTAAGAGAAAACAAAAGCAATAAACACATTTTACAGAATACAATTTGACGAAGTTAAACTTTTGAAAATAAAAAATTGAACCACACGTACATTTTTTGCACTAATTACAAATAGTTTCTTCAATATAGTGGGACAACCACTTGATTTATTTAATGTGATTTGTATACTTGTTGTTTAATTTCACTTTTACCAGGAATTTTATTTTTACATCCATATGCAACCAACTTCGTTTCATTCATGACCATTGGTAATTTTGTATAGTTTGTGAAGAATTTTCGACTGACTAAAATTATTATTAGTGGATCCACAACACATCCGATAATCGGCTATTTTGAGTTTTGTGCGAGTTAGGTAATTTGATGTAACCAGTATCAGGAAAGTTTATTGCAAAAACTCAAAACACTAAGTGAAGTTAAATGATAATACATTATCACTTACTCTATATTCAAGGTATAATATTAACTTCCTCTTTCCAAGAATAAAGTGCAAATGTGATAAAAATTCAAAACTAACAGGAAATATTAATTCATAATATTTTGACCTTCATTATTCGATTGTTTCCCCCTATACCATAAACGGAAATTTCAATTGGCATAAAATATATTTAGTGTTAAAAGCCGGATGATAGCATTTAAACAATAGTTTTTTAAACATATATCCCGTTTTAAACCTATCTAGATAGCAACTATGGAGCCGTTCACTACATCTTTAAGAACAGATGACAAGTGCAGGCTCCCAGGGCCATAAAAGTAATTTTAACGCTGACCTGGTAAAAAATGCAATATTACCTTCTTTAGTAAGTAGTACTTGACCAGCTGATTCTGATCCAATCAGTTATGTTCACCATTTTGTAGATTGTATCTAGCTGATCATATTTTTCAGCTTCTCTATACATAGAATTGAGAATGGAAAAGTGGAATGCGCCAAGGAGACAACAACTCGACCAAAGAGTAGAAATCCCAAGGTCACCAATGAGTCTTCAACACAGTGAGAAAATTCCGCACCACGAGAGCGGGATTTAGCTGATCCATAAACAATAATGTATATTTGTTCAGCGAAATGAACACCACACTGAACTCTGAAACATTTATAAATGAATCAAAATTTAAAAAATACACAAGACTAACATAGGCTAAATGTTCCGGAATTAGGACAGACGCTAAAATGTTGCGGGGTTAAAATCTTTTGTGAGGTCTCAACCCTCTACTTTACATCTGGCCAATATGGAATAAACAAACACACAGCAAACGCACAGTTAAACTCAGTTTAGAAGAAGGTCGAGGCCGATGTTAGAATAGGTAGCAGAAAAAAAGTAAGCACAATGACAATGATCAACATGAATTAACAAAGGACTACTAGCAGTTACTCCCATGCTAGCTCCAGACCTCAATTAAACTGATAGAAATACTATATGAAAATCAAGCACAATCCCTCCCGTTAGGGGTTTAGTATCATGAAATCATAAATTAAACGAGAAAAACATAAACCGTATCATGCAAACAACGGATTTTAGAATAAATGTGTTTATTTTCGATGCAAAACCCAATGAATGAATCAGTAAACGCCATTTTTCATGATTGGACAACAGTATCGCTCTACATCCCTTCTGAATAAATATGTTTAAATATATCTATTTTAAGTGTCAAGACTTTACCAACAACAAAAGAAAAACCTAAAAAACAACAAACCGGGAAAACCCGCCATGTCAGGGTATATCTCCTCTATAAGGACTAGATTGACAATTTTAGTTATTTTGCTGATCATTTTTGTTGTTTACAGTTTCTCAGTATGGACTGTTATGTTCGTCAAAAACGCAAAAAGTAGTGTAGTTTTCACGATTATAGTCAAAAACGCAAAGTGGGTATAAATAGCCATTTAGGACAATAACTCCAATAAAGAGTCGATTGACGATTTCAGTCGTGTTTAATTATTCATAGATCAAGTTTTGCTGGTCGTTTTTTTCTTTTTCAAATGTCTCTCTATCTATATATAAAAGGATTTAAGATAAAAGCCAAAACTGCTAGATTTGCTAGAAATTGGTATTTCAGATTGGATAATCTGATTTTTTTTTAGAAATTTGAGAGTAAAAAGATTTTGTGTAAGCATGTTTTACCAGCGGTGGCCTTGTTGTTCATCCGATCTTCACAACACGAGGACGCCAAATGATGGCATTAAATAAGCTCACATGGCCCTTAAGGCTCAGGTGAGCTAGTAATAGACGACCTCATATTTACCATGTAGTAAAGGCACATTTTGTCCACAGTAAAAAACACTTCCAATAGTTGTAGTGACCTTCAATAGCAAAGTCTTGGAAAGACAGGTTTTTTGTTGTTGTAATGGGAATAGTAATGTAAAACTATAAACAACACACTAGTACTTTTATCCATTCAAACAATAGCAATGCAATGAATACAATTATTTTATTAATGCCCGCTGCTTCATTGTATAAATAACAAATGTAAAAATAGAAAAATCTAAACACATAAAGGAAATAGCTAAAACTACATAAAATATTTCGTTGTTTTAAAATTATATGCAAATTCAAAACATCTTAAACTATTCTTTTACCATCAGGATGTTTGTTCATGGATATCAATGTCAAGAAGAGTATCGCTTGCATACGAACTATCATTATCGGAAGTCAAATTTCCCTGCATGCGTCGATTTTCTTTCTTGCTATTAATATCAGACGATATACACGCCATTTTGAATTCATCGAGCACCAAAAGTAAATTCTTATTGGTTTCCTGATTGGTTTAAATGGGTTATATAATTGGGAATGTCTTACAGAAAAGAAAGCACATACACGGAATGTAAAATTATGGGTGTTCGAGACGTGATCGATGAATCATTTGTACAGGATACCGTCCGTATCTTTCTGGAAAGGTTAAACTTGTGCAGGTGTATTTTCGTTTACTTTCATACAGAGTATACCTGAAAAGAAAAATGCATTAATTTTATATGATATTATTAGTGTGTTAGTGACATAATATGATATATACGGGTCAGTAAATTCCATATTGGGTTCGAGCGAAGCTCGTAAGATAATACATACTACTTCATAAATGTGGCATACAACATTTCAAAATTGGTGCTCGAAACACCAAATCCAGTATACGATTTGTTGATTTCTTAGTCTGAGATCGATAATCATACTCAAGTGTTTGTTATTTTTTGCCGCTTATTTCAGGTCTTGATCGAAAGTTTTAAATTCTAAAACATTTTGGCCTCAAGAACGATTGAAGACCGATTATTTATCAAAATGCGTATGAGGAGCTTTAAAAGCAGAAATGCTTAATATAAGATGCAAGAAACTTCTATGAATGAACATTATAAATCCAATTGTTTAAACAATACATCAGGAGTGTTGTCTGTTTTTACTGTATCTATGTAACACTTTTTCGTTAACATCTGGATAAAACCGGACAATTCCTGTAATTTTGTAGACGACATTTTTTTCTGCTTTTCTTTTTGCTAGCTTTCAACTCGTACAGATAATCGATATGTTCGTACTGTGTTCCTTTTTTGTAATGCGTAGCACAATATCAACACTTTCTAAAATTTTCCATTTGATGCCTGTTCTTAAACTATATCTATATCCTCGAGTTTATATCAAGCTAATGAAGAAAAAAAGACTAACTTACCCTTCCTTCTACAAATATAAAGACATATCACAGACATGGTGACCGTGCCAATACATACTGGTATCAAAATTGATAAGAACATCAATTCATTAGGTTGTCTCGTTTCTGATAAAAAGGAATAAAACTATAAGTTTTTCAGTAAAGTAATTGTATGTACATTTAGAAAATAAAACTGCTTTATTACTTATCAAACATAGAATCAAATATTATAGTGGAGGTCTCAAAACAAAAATCATGCATTTGCCATGTTTCAAATTGTATACCTATTACCCCGGGACCTATTACCGCATTTTTACAAACAAACAATATTTGCAATGTTTAAATTTGTAATTTGTCACCGCATCATTATTTTTGCCCGTATCTACTACCACTTGTCGTGTATTCCATATAATTGGTTAGGGGCCTCGGTGGCCAAGTGGTCTAAGTAGTAAGTTCATCTACTGTATCACTAGCCCACTAGCCTGTCAGCACTAAGGTGGTGAGGTTGTCACGGAATAGAAGTTCCTTCATAATTTAAGTTCCAAAAGGAAAAAGTATTCTGGAATATTATTTCCACTGGAATAAATATTACAGTATATATTCCTAACGGAATAAATGATATAGAATATTTGTTCCAATAGGAACAGATATTATGACATTGTTTATAACAAAGCTTCTGGTGGAACATCTGTTAGGCGGAACAAATATACGTTGACAAGTTCAAACCACACACCCTGCCAGGTGCGTTCGACTTTAATCTTAATTGACTAGGATTGTCAGTTTTCCTACCAAAGGTCGGTGATTTTATCCGGGCACTCCGGCTTCCTCGTCCAATAAAATCTGGCCACCACGAAATAGCCAATAGAGCTAACAGTGGCGTTTAACAAAAAAAAAAAACTCAATCATATAACTGGTTATAATTCTTTCATTTCTTACTTTTTGCCATCTCTTACTACGAAGATTATTATTCTCATATATGTATGAATCAAAGCACACTTTAGGTTTTAGACAACACGTAAGCATGGAAACCCAACTACGCAGTATAATTATAACTAAAATTAGGTGATCTAATTGTCACAGATACCCCACCCCCAGCAATACTCTTGAACGGCGAATGTTCAGTAGTGTCAAAATAGCCGATTCTGCGAAGCGGAACATTTACTATCATCGAGACGTATTTTGAAAAAAAAATATACTACTGGCAAAAGTCTAATCAGTAAATATCAAATCAACCAAATAACATTTAGAATTAAAAAAAACCTTTTAATTGCTACTTAAGTTATTATCAGAAAATCAAAACAAATCCATATTTTAAAGACGATATAAGGGGCATAACTCTTAAACGCATTTACCAAAAAACATTAGTAAATGACATTGTACTAAAATCAAAAAAATATTTTGTCAAGTCGTACTCTAATATTCATCCACGAAAAAAAATAAAATAAAAATCATAATTGAAGACATTACTTAAATCGGTAGTAAAAGACACTTTACAACCGACCGGCATCATTTTCTAAAAACCCGACGTATCCGATCATGTACCTTTATATATTTGAAGTGCATATCAGGAAGTGTATATTAATTTATCTTTTTTATTTTGTTTTTAGTTTACCAGTGTTCTGTTTTAGAATATTTGACTTACTAGCCAGATGTGGCGGTTGCAAGTAATTTCTTCTTCTTTAATTTTAAAAATAACATGATATGTTGTTAAAAGGGCTTCTTGAGAACGTTTATAAGCATAGATTGTCTTATTTTCAACAAACCCACACATTTTATTATTCTTTTTGTATCTTTTGTTTCAAGATAGGTGCATACTTTGTTGGCGTGATGTTTATAGCCTATTCCTGGTTTGACGTTTGCAGTTATTTAAATATAAGAAGGCGATCAACAGAAATTTGCTGATTTGACAGTCACCGGAACAGTCATTTTAATAACAAGTGTAGATTCAGAGATATTTTTTTCGGAATTTAAAATGTACACTATTTTATAAATAATACAACTTTATAGGAAAATTAGATAAAGATAGAACATTAATGGTTAGACAGCTTCAGATAATTGAAAACATACCTTTTACGTCAATTTGTATAGTACGAGTATAATTAAATCCAGCCGTACCAACAAAACAGGTGACCAGAAGAACTTTATCACAATATTCTTTAAGAGCTTTATAAGAAAATCGAAACGTCACTTTGTAGAATACAGACTCTCTCTCATAAACGGACTCGTAATTTTCGTCTCTTGAATTCTAGAAATGAAACAAAATAGTATATTTTTCACATATGCCATCACTCAGATATTTTTTATGTTTTACAGTTGCTAGTGGATAATATCTACTGTCTCGGTGTATTGAATTTGCGTGCATTACCATTACATTTGCAAGCAAAAATCATTACGTTTGCGCGCGGCTTTTGGTTTCTTTTGCGCGCATTTATTTTAAAGGTAAACTCAGGTAATATCCCCTGCTCCCAAACGAGGAGGTGGAAGTAGAATTTCGAGCAAGATAAGTCCGTTTTATTATGCACAAGCACTAAATCCTAGAAATGTTTACAGAAAAAAATGATAAAATGTTAAAACATAGCAAATATAAATAGTAAAAGTACTGATTTTGCATGTCGGTAAGTGCCGGAAATCCGAAGCCAATTCCTTAAAGAAATGAAATTGTGTTAACTTTTCCATCCTTTATTTTGAGTTGCTTAATTAACAAATATTTTCAAAAAATAATAATGTATAGTCATATTTATTATGAAAATTAATAAATGATTGTCATAGTTATATGGATTATCTTTATTTTTTCTTATATTACCTGTAAAATACATGCGCGCAAATGTAATCAAAAGCTGCGCGCAAACGTAAACACATTTAATCCCCAAATGCGCGCAAATATAATGCGCCCCTACTGTCTATACCAGTCAAACATTTTCTTTTATATGTTATGTCCATATAACCTTTACTGTTTTTTGTTGTTTTGAATATTAATAGTTGATAATTCAAAACCATTTTGGCAACGATTTCATTATTTTTAATGTCATATTTTCTGATCGGTATGATGATATGATAAAAGCGCCATTCTTGTATTCTGCAAAATTTTATTAATTTACTTCTTGACTCGTACGATTTGAAGCATCACTAGTAACCAATTTCTTCGTGTTAGTGTTATAAAGATTGTCTCGTCAACTAACAATATTTTTTTCAAACGTTCTTTCCTCCCTAAATGGACCATTTTCATCATATTCGTCAGAATGTGTTTATTTGTAGGATATTTTAATACCAATACAAGTAAAATATAATCAATTTCATTTGCATAATTTACTTACTCCAATAAAAAAATGACATGCCGGTTTTGGATACGCCTTCCGTATTGAAACTTGTATAATCTGATTGTTTTCAGTTCTGTCAACATATATCAAATCTTCTGATTTTGGAGGATCTAGAAACAAAAATGAAAGTTAATGAACTATCCTAAGTTTTTTTTAATATAAAGTAAGGAGATGTGGTATGATTGTTAATGAGACAACTTTCCAACAGAAACCAAACGACGTAGATGCGTAGATGTTAGTCTATAAATTTCACTGTACGGCAGTACGGAAAAAGATTAAGAGACTATAACAAGTCTGTCGGCAATACGAAATTCTTAGTTCCTGGTATGAGACAAGAATGTATATACTATTTCATTTTGTTTAAAATCCTCCAAAATACACGCTTTAGTACATTCTCATCATAATAAGACATGTTAAGTTTTTCTAAATACATCCTGTAACATTCCAACTTTTTAAAATAATTTGGTTTCTAAAGTTTTGAACTCGAGTGTGTTCTGCACTGACATTGTTTTTTTTCTTTCCGACCATTTTATTTTCTAGAGGGGGAGAGGGTTCAAAATGAATATTCTACAACACAAAAAACCTCCTCCCACCAGAATATCAAATGGTTGTCCACTATATAGAAGTGTGCAGCCAGACCCAAAATGTTCACAGAATGAATTTCGTAAAGACATTCAAAATTAATTGTCTGTAATATGGCACTTACATAGAAAAGAAGTATTCATTGTTATCAGGTTAGCCAAATAACTCTCAAAGTCAATGTTACATTTGTAGGTTGTATTAGCATCATCACTATCAAATGATTTGATGGTCAACGTGTAATTTATGCCGGTTTCTGTATACAATATTTTTCCTTCGTATTTTGTATCGTTAAAAGAACTATTTCCTACAGCAATATATTGTCCGTAGTTATTTAACCATGCAAAGTAAAAGTTTCCACTAAAGTATGGTCTATACATGTAGCATGACATCACAACATCTTGTCCAAAATAGATTGGTTCGGTTAATAATTGCCAACTAACTGTAAAAGCAAAAATATGTAATACACCTTAAATTAGAGACAACATGAAAATAATATTATCTTCTAAATAAATGTTCATGCATATAATGTTTCAATGTATACTTATACCCGCTGTTTTTTTAACATAACTTTTGAATTATTTTCCTTGTGATGATTCAGGTATATACAGGCCTATAATTGTTCTAACTGGTTTCAGAGGAAGATGTTTTTGAATAAATGTTAACCCTTACGACGACATGTGCTACATGTAATTGACACTTACAAATTTGGCCATACAGGCAAACTATAGAGATGAGTTCAAAGAGCTTTTCGGGAAACATCGGGAAAATGAACATTTGTTCCAGAATTGATGATCTACTCAAAAGCATGTTTCCAAGAAATATTTATCGACTCAAACATGTTAACTTTATGATAATTGTAAATAGATATACGAGCGAATTCTCAATGTGTGAGATGTTGAATTGTTGCTTTCTTCAATTTATTGTTTTATGTTGTTTGAATTGTTGAACATGTAAAATATTGTTTACAGACAATGCCAGCAAAAGATATTATGTTATTATACTATATAGCATTTAGAAACTTACTTTTAGTTCCGTATCCTTTCCCTAATATGAGTAACAATGCAATCAAAGGCAACCGACCCATTCCAAAACAAATCATATCTACAAACATTAAATTAGTTTTTAACATTAGTTGCTCGGTAATTTGAAAGATATTTGTAATTTTTCAGCATTTCTGTTTGCTGCTTGTTTTAAATATTATATATCTTTTTTATTTAATTTGTCCAGGAGTTTTCTTCTTTCTTTTTCGGAGGGATCTTAATCTATGCGATAATTTTCTTTTTTTTTTGTATCTGTTTTTGTTGCGGTCTGTCAAAGTTATAAGTGCTTTGTCTGCATGCCTGCCAAACAAACGTTTCATCCGCCAATTACTTTTCTAAACGCATATTTGGAGGCATTTCTGTATTATACATTATAGATTATGATAATTGTTGAAAAATTAGATCAGATCTCAGATATATCTGCGTGTCTGTTAATTCCAGAAATATAACATGAGAACTTTTTTTCTGACTGATATTCGAAAAATGGAAAAAAATAATTACATCACAGATTCAGAAACTAAGTTTGTGTTGTAAGAGCGTAAATGGAAATATAATACATGAGCGTAACTTATTACCTGAGATATATAAACGCAAAAAAACGGAGCAAAGGGTATCTTGCTGCTGTGAAATGGGAAGTTGACAATTGGAAAGCTGACATCATTACGTTTGTCGTACATCAATTCGTTTTGGTTTTCTCGCATCGGTACTTCATGTTGGTTTATTTCTAAAGCTAAACCTTTATAAATTGTGGGCCTAATACAATGTCTGTAAATGTATCTTTAAGAGGATTGTCATAACGGCAACCCTTTATAGGGATTTTACTGAGTTTTATCCACTTAAATCGAATATCACGTAATCTATAAGCTACAGCAACATATTCTGAATGTAAATAAATATGTACCAAAGTCAAACAGAGGTCTTGCTTAAGTGTCATGACACATGGATTCTCGTTTTGTGATGGCATGAACAGTACGAATTATACTAAAAGAGATGCGCATTTCGTTCGACAAGCTATAGAATCTTAGTGCATGGTTATTATAAAAAAAGAAGATGTGGTATGATTGCCAATGAGAAATTAACAACTATAGGTCACTGTACGGCCTTCAACAATGAGCAAAGCCCATACCGCATAGTCAGCTATAAAAGGCCCCGAAATGACAAATGTAAAAAAAATTCAAACGTGTTTCGTTCTAAGATTGTATAAACTTTTCCATTATAACAATAATACAGTCTTAGAATTTTATCTTGTCGCATGATATTCCTGTGTATAACGTCAATTATGATTAGTAAATACATGATCTGCCACAAAAGTTGCCATTCTCAACAATTTTGGCATTGATTGGATTTGATAAGTATTAACAGTGAACAATTGTAAGCACTGGTATTTATTCTTTGTATCATGTTTGATTATTTGACCTATATCAGATGATTTTTTACAATGACTTGTCTTGCTTGCATTAATCGGGGTTTTTTTTGGAAAGGGGGCGGGGTTAAAATTTGCAAAGTTTTTTTTTGTGTTGTGCTTCGAAGACTGTTGTTTGTCTCTTCGTAATTTCTTTTTTATCATGGTATAGCATGTTTGTCTCTACATTATAACTTTGATTGCGCTTTTGGTATCTTCTTACTTAAAACTTTTACTCAATTCTTTAATAGATATAACGATTTAGTTTGGAAGTTTGAATTTATCGATAGAACTCGTACTACAAACGGGATTTCAGATCACAATTTTCACGGTTTACAAGTAAGATGTTTGAATATTGTTTAATCGGTACTTAAATTGATTTTGTTTTTGATAATTAAAACATAAATAAATATGTATTGCTTAACAGCTAAGAAAACTAATGGTCCTAGATCCTGTCGTTGGTTGTATTTTGGGATTTGCAAAAGGTACTCTTTTTCTTAGACGGCAAATGACGTCTTTACACTAAATCTGTTTGAGGTATACTGATTAATACTTTAGTCTCAGATAACATGATTTATTTATTAGTTGTTATTGGCCTTCTAGTTGGCATTGGAATAGCCTTGTAGTAACTGTGACAATATATATACTCTTTGATCGGCAATTTGTTTTTTACAGTTTGTTCTTATGTTGTGCCGTTACACTACTGATCCGTGTTAGCTGGTTAGGGATAGGCTTACAGCGCTTACGGACATATTCAATAACACCTCATTATATTTCAGCCAGTGGCCTGTGATTCATTGGTTGACTTGTTGCTATCTGTCATATATTTTTTTATCCGTCCAGTGCATTATTTTATTATAAATCAAGCCGTTGGTATTATTTTAAATTTGTTTCA